AATTGATAAAGTACTTTTAATTCTTTCAATGTAAGCTGGATCTATATAACCACATTGTCTTCCCCTCCTGTGTCCTCCACATCATCCCAATTAAAACCTTACACTACAGATCTGATGAAGAAGATTATAGTTCATAAGAGCTTGTGGCTTTTAACAAAATGGGTTACTTGGAAAAGATGCTACTAAACTCCTATTGATTCCAAGCTCCGTTTTCACTGCCCCTTGTGTGACCCTCAGACTTGAGATTGGAATGATGGCTTGAAGGCACATGATCAGCTACTAGCTTAAGAATCAATTCTTTTTCAGAGTTTTATTACTTCTGCTAAGTTTGATGGATGACCATGTATTAAATTGGATATAGCAGATCATATTAAGGTCATATTGGCTTTTTGGCAGAATTCCTTATCTGTGGTGGGTGTGAACAGGCTAATTAGGTTTTTCTCCAAATGATAGGGAATGTCAGAATGAGTTCAGTGGGATTGACTGGGGAAATTTGGTTACAGATTTTACTTGGGAACCAGAACATTTTCTAAATAAACTCACCTTTCCCAAATTGTGAAAATAACTTTTTAGGGATAGAAATCATTTTCTCCTTTCTGCACTTCAGGCTACATATTCCAAGACCAAAGTAACTAGTACACTTCAACAAGAATAATCAACTAGTTCTATTATATGGTACTTTTTATAGAACACTAGATAAAAGGTATATTTTTTCTCCTCTGTGCAGAGAGCTCCAGGTTAAGACTCAAAATATCTTATTACCTACATGATAGCAAAATTTTGTGTGGCTGCAGTGAAAATGAGGCAACAGATTATGTAAAAATTCAGCACTGTTCTACATGTGTTTTTGTAATTTTGTTGATCATTGACTGTAAATAAGAACTTTAAGGCTTGCATTTCACCCATGATCCTTTTAGTATGTTACCTAAATTTGCCAGATGTCATTGCTTGTCTTAGATGTTTTTGGATTGTCCTGTTGTTTTCCCACTGAGTGTAAAGTTCTTCTCATATTTTGCCATTAATAATAGCCTAGAACCTTGATACTTGCTGGTCATTCATTCCATTTACAAGAAATGATGGAAGTAGAGCATTATACAGAAAGGAAACTTCACTCCCATTGTCCTCCAGTAGAACAAAATAATGCACAGTTTAGTCCAGTATTTTAAGTAACAAGCATTTTTTGATGTCTGTGAGCCTTTCCTGTATCTGGGTGACCCAAACTGGCTTTTTAAAAGAGAGTAAGGCAGGAAATAGATGTTATCTTAGCAACTACATCTCTCCTAACTTTCATTTGCCAAGATAGCAAGTTTATTGGACTGAGACAGCACATTATGTTGTCAATGCGAACAATGGCTGTTAGGTTTCCTCTGGTATAGAGAATCTATTTTGAGTTTTCTTACTTTAACTGTGAACAAACAAACAAACAATCTTGATACTGTGAAGTATCTGTGATTCTGTCAGTGTTGTCTTTAGCTCTCATTTCAATAATTCTCAATTATGTTCAGCCCTGCTGTTAATGATGTTGATATTCATATATGTTTTTTTACATGCCTTTCCAAGTATATACACTTTTTCCAATCAATGTTTTACTAGCAATATATACATATGTATACTGTATACATATGTACATATTGCTAATAAATGGTTGTTTTAATCATTTAGTCATGTCCAAATCTTGGCAACTTTATAAGCAAGTGTTCTCCATATATATATTTATAAAAAAGTATGTTTAGAGCATGTGCTATGTTGTAAGTTTCTAAAATCTGAAGATTTTAGCACACACAGGGATTTCAGAATTTCTATTTATTTATTTATTACCAAGTCTGAATTTGCTGTATTTGTCTAACAATACTAATAAGTTTATTTTTTAAAATTCTTGTATGGGCCTCAATATAACTCACTTTCATTAGCATTTAAAAAATCTGTTGCTGTTGAAAGATACTTACTTTTAGAGGAATAGACACACAGTTAGGGAGCTAGATTTTTTTTGAGCAGTTTATGAAAGATGACAAAAATTGCAGGAACAGTTGCCCCTGGATTGGAAATATACTCAATCAGATGTTAGACAAATAATTTTTTTTTTACACATTGGAGATGATGGGCAGAATTAATTTCCATCAAATAAGTCAGGGAGGAGACATAGATGCAGTTCCTTCTGCTGGGTTCTGTGGCAGCTTAGAGGAGCTAAAAAAATTGGACCAGGAAATGATATTGTTTCTAATGCTTCAGTACTGCTGCTGTTTAGGGAAATCACTGCAAGCTACAGGTGGTTGATCTGTTTGCTGCACTTTCCCTTCCCTTTTCCCTTTTGCAAAGATAATATTATCTCCCTTTCTACGGTGCTATGAACCACAGAAGTGCTCACAAAACCTATTTATTCACTTTTGCAATAATTTTGCACCATTTCATACAGCCACTTATTCTGGGTTTGGCAAATCAATACATATCCATTACATTTATCAGAGTTATTAATAAAATCTTCCCGGACGGGGGAACAGGAAAGTACATCCAGCAAATGCAGAACAAATGGTGACATTTGAAATGTTCAAAAGCTAAATTAATGTGGAGATGAATAATAATAATAATAATAATAATAATAATAATAATAATAATAATAATAATAATAATAATAATAGTTGGAAGGGATCTTGGAGGTCATCTAGTCCAACCCCCTGTTCAGGCAGGAAACCCTATACCAGTGGTTCTCAACCTGTGGGTCGGGACCCCATTTGGGGTCGAACGACCATTTCACGGGGGTCGCCAAACAACGCAGTCCGCCATTTTTTCTCCCTTTTCCTTAGCTGTGCTACTCCCTTTTATTCTATTGGCTTTTGAAAGCCAATAGAATAGACTCTCTTGAATAGAGTCTAATTCTATTGGCTTTCAAAAGCCAATAGGAATTGTCCAGGCTGTCTTTGCCCTGCTGAGCCCGCCAAAAGTCCCATTCTGCAAAAGGTGCTGCACCAGTTGAGTAGTCCTCTGCTTACGATCGGTTGAGTAATCCTTGACTTACGACCGGTTGGGGGTCACAGCATTAAAAAGGTTGAGAACCACTGCCCTATACCATTTCAGACAAATAGCTGTCCAGTCTCTTCTTAAAAACTTCCAGTGTTGGAGCATTCACAATTTCTGGAGGCAGGTTGTTCCATTGATTAATTGTTCTAACTGTCAGGAAGTTTCTCCGTAGTTCTAGGTTGCTTCTCTCCTGGATTAGTTTCCACCCATTGCTTCTTGTCCTGCCTTCAGGTGCTTTGGAGAATAGCTTGTCTCCCTCTTCTTTGTGGCAGCCCCTGAGATATTGGAACACTGCTATCATGTTACCCCTTGTCCTTTTCTTCATTAAACTAGACATACCCAATTCCAGCAACCGTTCCTCATATGTTTTAGCCTCCAGTCCCCTAATCATCTTTGTTGCTCTTCTCTGTACTCTTTCTAGAGTTTCAACATCATTTTTACATTGTGGTGACCAAAACTGGATGCAGTATTCCAAGTGTGGCCTTACCAAAGCATTGTAAAGTGATATTAACACTTCACCTGATCTTGATTCTATCCCTCTTTTAATGCAGCCTAGAACTGTGTTGGCTTTTTTGGCAGCTGCAGCACACTCTTGGCTCATCTTTAAGTGATTGTCTACTAGGATTCCAAGATCCCTCTCATAGTTAATACTATTGAGCAAGGTGCCATCAATACCAGGGGTGTCAAACTCACAACGTGACATGTCGCGATGTATCACAACTTTTTCTCCATTGCTGGCAATGGGGTAAGTGCGGTTTTGGCTTGATGCATCTGTCCTGTGGGCCGACAGTTTGACACCCTGACCTTTACTATACCTGTGCATTTGGTTTTTCTTGCCTAAATGTCTTTAGGCAATGTCTTCTTCCAAATTCTTCCTGAAATTGGTACCCAGCCTGTGATGTTCAAAGTGGAGGATAACAAAATCTGCAAGACAGCAGTTGTGGCATCATGGTCCAAGCTCTGCCCCTTTGGTACATGTGATTGTATTGTATGCATATTCAAAAGAAGGGGGCTTGGACTGTAATATCCACCATATTAGAGACCATCCATGGACATTCTACATCAGTTCTTTCTTTTAAATTTCAGCCCAGTTTATTTCCGATTTTGGAATCTGAATCTGCTTTAAACTATTATCTTTGATTGCTTCAAACTAAGACACTTTCATGAAAAGATATATTTGAAAAAAAGGTTTGGGGCAGAGTCTTCAACAAGGCAGCAATTATTTTACCTTTTTTAGGCTCTGGAAATTTATCCAGATTCTATGTCTCAATAAATATTCTATATATTTATCAGATTCTGTTCCAATATTTGAAGGGCTGCAACAAAGATGAAGGGGTCAAACTATTTTCCAAAGGCCTGAAGGGAAGATAAACAATGGATGGAAACTAATCAAGGAGAGAAGCAACCTAGAACTAAAGAAATATTTCTTAACATGAGAACAATCAACTAATGGAATGGCTTGTTTTCAGAAGTTGTATGCACCCCAACACTGGAGGCTTTCCAGGAGACATCGGACAGCCATTTTTCAGAAATGGTATAGGGTCTCTTGCTCAAGTAGGGGGTTGGACTAGAAGACCTCAAAGGTCCCTTCCAACTCTGTTATTCTATATGTCAGCATTCTCTGGATAATGAATGCTAAAACAACACATATTTACAGGATATGGTATTAAGGATACCCATGAACAAAATATTTAGCAGCTGTGTTTTATATTTATCATAATATTTACCTGGAAGTTTTTAAGAAGAGACTGGACAGCCATTTGTCCAAAATGGTATAGGGTTTCCTACCTGAGCAGGGGGTTGGACTAGATGACTTCCAAGGTCCCTTCCAACTTTATTATTATTATTATGAATTGTTATTATTAATAATAAGTATTATAATTAATAATTAAAGAGATTTGTTCATTTGCTTACAAATTTTAAACTTTCTGGATGCACTAAATATTTCCTAATTCTTCCCTGTTTCCTGTCTTCACTGTGTCAAGGATGCATTTGAAATCCTGGTTGAAAACTATGAATTCAATGAAAATAAAGACTTTTGCCTTGCATTTGGAAGAGCAGCTTCTGTGCTGAAGGGTCTTCCATTCACTGTAGTTCGAGTGAATGACATTGAAGGGCTGCCCTGGATGGAAGAACGGGTCAAAGAAATAATCGAGGTATGTTCTGTGAGGTGTCATCTAGTGCTTTTTAAAGCATTCCCACTCAGAGACACACATCAGTGACTTACTTCCCTGTGCCCATGTTGATCTTTCACCTCTCAATATAGATAGTCCTTGACTTACAATCATTCATTAGCGACAGTTCAGAGTTACAACAGCACTGAATTTACAATGGTTGCAGCATCCCAGGGTCATGTGATTGTCATCTGTGACCTTCCCAGCTGGCTTCCGACAAGCAAAGTCAATAAGGCAAGCCGGAGTTGCTTAACAACCATGTGATTCACTCAACAACTGCAATGATTGGCTTACCAAACATGGCCCAAACATGGTCGTAAAATCAGTTGCAGCTCCACCTTGCTTAGCAAGGGTAAATCTAAGGACAGGAGTCAGGGACTACAGATATTCATCTTGTTCAAAACTATATGGATGGGTGTGGAGAGAACAATAAAATATGCCCTGGCCTATGCAAACATAATGCTGGGGTTCTGATCTAGGCCTGATCTCTGATATAAGAAAGAAAATATTTAACATGTTACACTTCAAACACGTAGTTTAGCTCTCTCCTGGTAAAAGGGAGAGCCTTTGTCTCAAGGCAATAACATCCCTCCCACCACTTAGTGAGAAACATTATAAATCCCTCCCGTTATCTTTTTGAAACAAGATCATTTTATTCTGTTAATTTTTGTTGAGAGTCTCTAGGAATCACTTTTGTACCAAAGCATTAAAATTAAAGAGAATTTGCAAAACAGCCCCTTCCCCTGATCATTTTTAGCAACAGACATATTTTCTTCTCTGCAATGTGGATGGATGTTAAGGAAGGGGAGGGGGACACTATAATTAAATGCTGCTTAGAATCGCTGTTCAGATTCTCCTTTCAGTTTATTGTGCAACAATAAAAGCTCAGCAGCATTTTAAAAAAGATGCCTAGCATGCTTATTTTCTAACAAAACCAACAACACTAAGTAAGTGTAAGAGTTCAGCCTGAATTTTAAAAACAGGACTGCTTAAGCACTGAGAGGCTATTAGAAGTAATTAGATTGCAACATAAATACCACAGAAATGTGTATAAACCTGCACAAATATGTCTCTCCTATGTATTCAGGATATATTAGAAGAAGGGGAGAGTTCTAAAGTGAAAGCAGTGCTAAACAATGAAAACTACAGATCAATTAAAGTAAGTTGGTTTCTGCTTTTCTTTCTGACAGTTGCCAAGGGGTGTATATAAGTTTTCTTTGAATTTCTCCCTCTGAGTTTGTAGATCAGATTACAAGAAAAAAAGAAATCTAACCTTGGTTTGGTTGAGAAGGAAATACTGTACAGTGGCTAAGAAACTTGCAGTCCTCCTTCCTAAATCGGGTGCCCTTCAAGTAAACTAACTGGTTTTGAATTCTGAAAGCTGTCATCCCAAACACATTATTCAACATGGTGTACAGGTAGTCCTCGATTTATGACCATAATTGAGCCCAAAATTTCTGTTGCTAAGTGAGATATTTGTTATATGAGTTTTGTCCCATTTTACGACCTTTCTGGCCACAGTTGTTAAGACTTTGCTTGTCAGAAGGTCGCAGAAGATGATCACAAGATCCCAGGACCCTGTAACCATCATAAATATCAGTCAGTTGCCAAGATTTGAGTTTTGAGCACGTGAACATGGGGATGCTGCAATGGTCGTAAGTGTGAAAAATGGTCATAAGTCCACTTTTAGTGACATTGTAACTTCGAACGGTCACTAAACAAACTGTTGTAAGTCGAGGACTACTTGTAATCAATATTGGGCATCTGAAAATTCTGCTGGATGTCCTATAGAAATGTAATGTAAAATGGGTGTGATTGAGTTATTATGCCAAATGAATGGAAATCTGGCATTCAAATTTAAACCCCTCTCCCCCCTGTGTGGCCTTTGAACTATGGTGCTGGAGAAGATTCCTGCGAGTCCCCTGGACTGCAAGGCGATCAAACCGGTCAGTCCTAGAGGAGATCAACCCTGACTGCTCTTTAGAAGGCCAGATCCTGAAGTTGAAACTCAAGTACTTTGGCCACCTAAGAAGGACTCACTAGAGAAGAGCCTAATGCTGGGAAATATTGAGGGCAATAGAAGAAGGGGACAACAGAGAATGAGATGGCTGGATGGCGTCACTGAAGCAGTAGGCGTGAGCTTAAATGGACTCCAGAAGTTGGTAGAGGACAGGAAGATCTGGAGGAATGTTGTCTATGGGGTCGCGATGTGTTGGACACGACTTCACAACTAACAACAACAACAACCACCCATGTGGGGTATATTGAGTGATTTTAGATGTCTCATTATTTCTCTGACCAACAGGATTGTTGTAGTGATCATAAAATGAAGGAAGATCCTACATGGGTAAATTTCAGTTTCCAGACAAAAGATGAGATATAAAACCTATAACAAACATTTGTCCATGTCATGGATCTGAGCCACTGGACACTGGAGAAGCTTTGATCCAGATGGTCAAATATAGATCACACTCAAGAGTCTGCTCTGAAAACCTACTTGTTGAATTAATGCAGTTGCAATCCGTGCTGTTCTTTGTTCTTAATGAACAGCAATCAACACATTTAATGAATAATTTTTCAACTGCCCAGCATCTATTGAGTGAGACAAGATACAAGTGCAGTAATTAATTAATTAACCATTTCATTTATCTGTTACTAATTGTGCTAACAGTAGCATATAAGTCATCAGGATTTAGCCTTAATTTTAAGTCCATTTAGTTGGCTCATTTAAGCCTGATTTCCAAGTAAATTTGTTTAAGTTGAAGTTTAATTGCACATAAAGTGATTTACTACTGGAAGATGGCCATGAAGAAATCTAACTTTACTGACAGTGTTTTAAAAAGCAGATAATATTTCTGAGTGATGGAAAAGTTTAATTTTGTTTCCTTTTCTGCCAGCGATAACTCATGCTTTAGAAACCTTATTCTGACCATTATGTAAGAGCTAATAACAATTCTGTGAATTCTCATGATCCTATTAACAAAATACTAGAGAATTAATAGATAAGAATTTAAGTAATTTTTGACAAATGAGATTACAAAATATAATAGCTCTTCCTCACAAGCACCATGCTTTTCACAAAGAGCAGATAATTTCACTTGCTCTATCTGAAATGACAAGCCATACACATTCCAAAATCATTATTTTCTTTATTGTTTTTGCATTAATAAATAATCTTCTTAGAAATACAAGATAAATTAGCATAACCCAAATTCAAAGTCTGGAGATTCAACAGAAAGGAAGATTTAAATAGGACTCTCTAGCCATTTCTAAAATTCAATGTATTCCATTACGTGCAATGGAACTTTGAGAAACACTCTATTTACAAGATGGCATATATATAATAGATGCATTGATCTTCCGAGATACCAGTTTGTATGAAGATCATTGCTTTGTTTTCTCAATAGCTTTCTAGGACCAACTAGTCTGTAGTTAAAATACCAACAAAACGTTATTGTTGGGAGCCCTTATGGTGCAATGATTAAACTTTGCCCACAGCCTGAAGTTCAGTCCTGACGGGGTCACAAGATTGGCTCAGCCTTCTGAGGTCAGTAAAATGAGGACCTAGATTGGACCTATGCTGACATTATAAACTACTCTTAGAGTGCTGTAAAGCACTATGGGGTGGTATATAAATCTAAGCGTTATTGCTATTGCTATTTATTTGACCAAGGAGAGAACTACCTCTTAGAACATGATTTTTATCAAAACCAAGGACAAGGGAAAAGGCTTAAAAACCTCCTTTTGGGGGGGTGTATTTTAGGAGAGAAAGAGGGAAGACCTGCCATGGTGGGCAGTTGTATTTCAATGGGTAGAAAGTGGTTCTAATTTGGATCCTAGATGATGTTACTCATTGTCAGACATGTCTTACAAACCCATAATTCTGTCTCTCCTCCCGTTGATGTAGTAAAGTCTCTGTTACCTTTTGTGTTCGTCCCCACTTTTATTAATAAATGTAACCTTTGCATTGCTATTCAATCTATAGCAAATATTATTGAATAGGAGTACTTGCTGCTGCTTGTTGCAATCTACGTGCTTTCCAAATTTAGGTATATATTATTCAGCAACTATTTGAATTTTCCACATAATTATTTTAGTATTTCCCTGGTCATGTGATTGCTATACAGAATGCTCAATGACTGGCTTGCAATGACGATGCTGCAGTGTCCCATGGTCACATGATTGTCATTTTCAACTTTGACCTCACTGCTGGCTTACAACAAGCAAAGTCAACAGCGAAGATGATAGGAGTTGAAAATGGTGACCACATGACATTGTGCTTAATGACAGCATGGTGTTCACTTAATGACAGCAACTGGAAGTGCTGGAATAGCCATCACTAAGCGGCGTAATCAAGTGGCTGCATTGCTTGGCTACAAAAATTCTGTTCCCAATTACTGTTGTTAAATGATAATTACCTGTAACGTATTTCCTTCATATTTCATACAGTCTTAGCTGAAGTGGCCATTCAGAATACAGTAATTACAGTGTGGCTGGAATGCTTGCATTTGTATTAAATTTCAGGAGAAAACATGAAACTCTGCATTGCACTGGCCCAGCACCCCACAAACTATTAAACTGAATACATTTCTATTCTACATAGCTTTTTACTTCTGTTTTTGGAGTTGGACTGAAGACATCTGACAAATGGTACAGAATGGGACTACGAACTCTGGAAGAAGTAAAATGTAACAAGAACCTGACACTAACAAGAATGCAAAAAGCAGGTAAACATTATCTAATTGTATGTTCAGTCTTGCAAACAGCATTAGTTAAACAAGCAAATCACCCGATAGATGTGCAAATACCTGCTCTGTTTGATTAATGCAGTTTTCCCTAGTGTGGGATTTCCAGATATATTGTGACTGCGATTCCCAGGGTTCCTCATGTGAATGGCCAGGAAATCTGGGAATTGTAGTCCCAATAATCCCACAGGGTATTAGTTCAATTAGAGATATTTATATTGTTTATTTTTCATATTTCTAAATTGCCTATCTCCCTCATAATTACTGACCATTCATACAATAAAGTTACATATTGGTTTGAAGTTTGTTCCTTGTAACATTACAAGGCAAATAACACAAAGTAGTATAAAATATTTTGTGAAAATCACCGTTGAAAATCTGTTGTTAGTAAGATGGTTTACATTTTATCAAAATAAACATTGTTTTGGGTGTGAAAGATACTTTTCTTTAGAAGGATCTCAGTTGCAAGCTCTTTGATTTGCATAACATGGATCTATCTGGATGGCCAGGAATTTCTAAGTTTTAATTTCCTTGCATTACAGCACTTTTTTATGTCTTTTTTTTTGTTAGAGGTCATGTGCAAGCTACAAGACTTCTATCATGTAATGAGATTCCAACAAGGAATTTCATCAGAATTCCAAGGGCAGGATCCTTGGATGTCTTATCCACACTTGTCTATGGAGATTCTTAGTCATCCAGGTCATGGTTGTCCCAAAGGTGATTTTTCAAGAGCAGTGGTTCTCAACCTTTCTAATGCTGCGACCCCATAATACAGTTCCCCATGTTGTGGTGACCCCCAACCACTTATACATCACTGGGTGCTAGGGGCGTGGCCAAAGAAAAGGGGAAAAAATGGCAGACAGCCTTGTTTGGCGACCCCCGTGAAATGGTCATTCGACCCCAAATGGGGTCCCGACCCATAGGTTGAGAACCACTGTTCAAGAGGCAACTGGACATCCTCTGTTTCTCCTTGAAGACATTTTGCTTCTTATCCAAGATGCTTCTTCAGTTCTGAACTGAAGAAGCTTCTTGGATAAGAAGTGAAACAACTTCAAAGAAAAAACAAAGAAAGTCCAGTTGCCTCTTGAAAAATCTCCTTTGGGATGATTAATCCACACTTATTTTTAATCTCATTCTACATCTCAATGAGAATATTTTAATTTCTTAGCATATTTATATACAATCTAATCCCAATAGTTATGAGGTACCTTGCAAAAAATGTACACATGTAGCACAAGATAACAGAGTAGGGATATTTAAGTCTACATTATTCCAACCTCCACCCCTGTATGCTGGAAATTAAATGAGCAGAGTTGGCCTATATTATGTCTAAATCATTTATGTACAAAACAATGGTGTGTGTGTTTAGTTTTTTTCTTCCTTTTTCCCCTTTCCTTTCATATTCAGAGAAACATTGGACAGATTGAGACGAACAAAGAATAAGACAAGAATTAAGTCAATCAATTTAAATAGAAATCTCTGCTCATGGGAATCACTTCTTTTCTTCTTAGAACCAAGGTCCCTCAGCTGGAGTATTAAGAAACTGGCTGAACTAATGCTTACAAGTCCTTTTATACTACATTGAGATTTCTCTCAATCTTAAAAGTTGACTTAGAGATGGGGGAGAACTTTTAACTAATGCTAGCCAGTTAGAAGCTGGCATTCCTTGTTGACCAGTCATCAATCACTCATGGATCTATTAGGACATCTATTTTCCTTGTACCTTTTCTTGTTCTAAGGCAGGGGTGTCCAAGCATGGCAACTTTGAGACTTGTAGATTTCAACTCCCAGAATTTTCCAACTAGCATGGCTGGCTGGGAGATTCTGGAAGTTGAAGTCCACAGTTCTTAAAGTTGCCAAGGTTTGATATTCTTGCTCTAGTCTAAAGCATCTTCATGTCTGAATAAATTAAATAGTATTCACTATTGTTCCATAGATAGACAAACCCATCCTAGGGCAATTTTAAAGCTAGGGGAGGACTAAAAAAACTCAATGTGGCAGATGCAACAGTGCAATTTGAGTCTTCCTCCTTTCTATTCTAATAGAGATATTTTTGTGGTTTGTGCATAATGTTTTGTTTTGTTAGAACTGACCAAATATTTTATCACTCAAATGAAAAGGTGGATTCATCCACTAATTGATTTTTGGTTAGTTGATTAACCTGTTAAAGAAGTATTATCACTCTGGTATGTGCAAAACACTTGTTAAATTCTGTTTAGAAAAACAGGGAATGAGAGAAGGCTAGATCTCTTCCCTCTCCCTGTATTTACCACACACACACACACACACACAGAGAGAGAGAGAGAGAGAGAGAGAGAGAGAGAGAGAGAGAGAGAGAGAGAGAGGGGGAGGGAGGGAGGGAGGGAGAGAGAGAGAGAGAGAGGGAGCGAGAGAGGGAGAGAGAGCGGGAGAGAGAGAAGAAAATCCATGGAAGTTCTTGACATCTAAATTAGCTAGCAAGTTTGAATTTGGCTTAGCTTAAATTAAGTGTCTTTCTCTAGTTTAGTAGTAGAACGCCAGTAGTTTCTGGAGTAGCCAGAGAAAGAACTTCTTGGAGGCATTTTATGGAACTCATCCTAAAATAGGAGACATGCATGATTTTTACATAAGTACAAACTAATAGGAACCTTAGTAAAATATTTGGCTATTTTTGATAACTGAAAATCAAATTCTCATCCAGGTTCAGTTTAATTATTATAGGAATGGACAAATGCCAAGATACTGGAATGTCCCAACTTGAGATGGATGGCAGAGCCTTAATTATATAATAGTGTGTCAAATGTAACACATTAATGCTACTTATTAGCATTAATGTATTCTTACAGCTTCTTTTAATCATAATTTCTTCCTTGTGAAATAGATAATATTTAGCTACATGGCAATGGATAAGTAACCTATACTTCTGCTCAGGTTGAGAAACATTGCCCTGGACAACTTCATCATTTATTTATTTTCTTTATAAGCTGTGTATATCTGCCCATCTTAGGCAACATAATTTTGGGTTACTTATAAACAGCAACAAAATAAATAAAAGCATAAAAGCCAACAGGGAAGCTCCTGGTGCTTCCACGTAGTTCCACAAATTCACAAACTAACTACCCCAGGGCTTGCAGGACAAGCCATGTATTCAAGACTTTTTGGAAGGCTATGAGGGTGGGGGCATTCGGGATTTTAGGGAGATATTCCAAAGAGTAGGGCCCACCAGAAGAGGCACACTGTCTAGGTCCCACTAGATGGTAACATATAGGGGAAGGGATTTAGAGTATACCTATCCTATCAGAGTGCATGGAATAGGCAGTTATCCTAGGGGAGAGACAGTCCTACAAATAACCTGGCCCTCTGATATTAAGGTATTTAAAAGTGAAAATCAGTACTTTGAAATGTACAGTGTAATCTAAAAATCATTTTTCAGGGTTCCTGTACTATGATGACCTTATTAGCTCTGTATCTAAAGCCGAAGCAGATGCGGCAACTCGGATCGTTCAAGATACAGTGTGGAAAATTTTACCTAATGCTATTGTAACATTAACTGGTGGCTTCCGAAGGTAAGTATAAAATATAGGTTTTCTGGAAATTTCATCTGTGTAAAGTCTGGGTCAATGTTTTTGCAAACCATGCCAGTGCCACATTGAATCAGGTCAGATTTTTAAAATAAGATATGTTATACAAATATTTTACATAAAAAGAATCCTAAATAATTTCAGGAGAGAGTGGGATGAACGCTGACAATGTTTTTACCCACTTTGTAGACATGAACATGGAGCATTCATTGTCCCCAAAAGTGGAGAAAAAATCCTTATGGATTTTCTACCTTTCTCTGTGACTGGGTTGGACCTAATCTTGGCCCAAGGTAGGTGGACTTCAACTCCCAGAATTCCCCACCCAGCTGCGGGGAGTTGAAGTCTACATGTCTTAAAGTTATTAAGGTTGGGAAACACTATTGTAGAACAATGGTGGGTGATGTAAGATTTGGATGAACTTTAATTCTCAGTACCTTCAACCAGCATTGATAATGGTGATGGATGCTCAAAGTTGTAGCTTAAATGACATCTGAAGAGATACAATTTTTTACCCACAGCCTTCTGACTGAAAACTAAAAGGCCTGCTGCCTGCTTGTCATACAAATATATACTCGTTCTTGTATTTCTTTTCAAAGTAAAATATATTATGCAGACTATTGGAAAGGAGTAGCAATAGCAATAGCACTTAGATTTATATACCACTTCATGGTGCTTTACAGCCCTCTCTAAGCAGTTTACAGAATCAGCATATTGCTGCCAACAAGTTGGCTCCTCATTTTACTGACCTTGGAAGGATGGAAGGCTGAGTCAACCCTGAGCTGGTCAGAATCGAACTGCTGGCAGTTGGCAGAATTAGCCTGCAATACTGCATTTTAACTACTGTGTCACCATGGCTCTTTTGTATGAAATATTAAGAAATTAAAAGCACAAAAACAAGAAAAAAATAGTCAAAACTAGTTTAATCCAATACTTTTCAGTTTGTTTTTTCATACCGTGTTTCCAGTGGTGGGATTCAAATATGTGAACAACTGGTTCTCTGTGTGGATGCCGCTTCCGGAAGTCCATTTTGGGCCTGGGCAACAAAAAAATAGCTACTGGTTCTGCCGAAGTGGTGCGAACTGGCTGAATCCCACCACTGTGTGTTTTCCCCAAAATAAGATCTGGTCTTTTTTCTTTTCTTTTTTGCCTCCAAAAGAGGCACCAGGTCTTATTTTTGCGGGGTATCTTTTCCATGGTCTCACCTCGCAGCTGCGGCACTGACAACCCCACCCAGTTGGCCCACTTCTTCTGCGGCTGTTCACATGTGTCATCCCCGGCCTCCATTTTGCCATCAGAGGCCTTCCGGAAAGGCCTCTGATGGCAAAATGCTGTTGCAGAAGTGGGCCAGTGAGACAAAGCAGGTGTCAATTCATGGGAGGCCTGGCTGCAATGGTAAACGGGTATGGGGTGCAGCTCCACCCCACCCCCATCCTAGCATGATTTTTAAGCATGCACCTTGCCCCAAAACTAGGCCTCATTTTTGGAGTAGGGCTTATATTAGTCCCACCCCCCAAAATCAAGCTAGGATTTATTTTCGGGGTAGGTCTTGCTTTTGGGGAAACATGATACCTTTTCCTACACATATGCGTGCTGCTTCATACATTGGTTTTAGTTCTTAAAACTTCTCATCTCATTCTTTTTCAAGATCTCATCAACTCACTTTCTTCCTCTTGACCCATTCACTCTTTCCTTCCATATATTCATTTTGCAATTCTATCTTCAACCATTCTCACTGTATGTTAACACTGCCCCAATATACTTCTGTTGTAGTATCACTCACTTTTGTATTCAATCCACATCTGTTCAGAAACCACTCATTCTTGACCCTATATCTGTTTGTTTTACCATGCATGCATCTTAAGTAAAGAATTCTCATTGCATTCAGTGGTTATTTTTCTCTTGACATGCCATATCCATTTAGCAAAACAGGGAGAAGCACACTCTTATACACAACAGTTCTTGCTTCTTTTGGCAAACATGAATTCCTCACAACAAATCACAGGCTACAAGGCTTACATGAAAATAGTTGAAAGGGTGAGAAAAATAGAAGCTTCTATGTTTAAATAAATAATCAGCACTGTTCCTATATATTTGAGTTACTTATGTATAAAAATGACATGTGTTCTGATCTCACTGGTATTCCTAAATAAAAAAGTCTGGAAAATATTAGCTGTCCATAAGGAATCCACAGGGGCATAAGAATAGATCTTTATTTGATACTGAAATGTAATATTATAGCAATATCATTATAGTAAGCTTAATGTTGCAGCAATAGTAGCAACTTGTTGAACCTACAACCAGAATTGCTTTCCCCTCCTGATATTGTGTACAATACTTTATCCTTTCAAAAATTGTAATATTAAATTTGTTAGGAAGGTACTTGAAAGAACTTGATCTATGCTGTGGGAGGAAAGTTAGAAAGGTAAAACTAGAAATGTGAAGGATGTAAACAAAACTCAATAATAATAAAAATAAATTTGCCCAAACTGTTCTCCTCCTGGTAAAACATTATAGTCACATAGTAATGAAAGTTCTTTTTGAACCAACCTTGAGAGCCCAAATTTGGATAGGTCCACTTCTTCAGGAGAATCCACTGGAATCAAATGAATTAATCAGAGCCAGAAAGGAGGGGTCTCTGGAAAGCTCTGTAGACTTTGGAGGAAATAAAAGATGCTGATAACCTATTAGCAAATATGGAGGAATTTGGACATGAACCTTATCTTTAGCTTTTTCTCTATCCATGTGCCTTGGTTTTCAGCTTATTTAATCTATACTTACATTGATACACAAGAAGCTTGACTTTATATGAATTTTTTCCACTGCATTAGGTATAGGTTATTTCATAGACTGTTTCTTTATTCATTTCTGAGTATGATCAATTAGGCAGGAAATTCATGATTAAAAGTGTGGTTTTCTTTACAGGTATAACAATAGCAACAGCACTTAGACTTACATAGCACTTCACAGTGCTTTACAGCCCTCTTTAAGCATTTTACAGAGTCAATATATAGCCCTGGGTCCTCATTTTATTGACCTTGGAAGGATGGAAGGCTGACTCAACCTTGAACCGGTGAGAATCGAACTGCTTAAATTCTGGCAGTTGGCAGTCAGCAGAAGTAGCCTGCAATACTGCATTCTAACCACTGTGCCACCACGGCTCATATAGCCTGTAAGTGGAAGTATCAGTTATAAAGAGTTGTGTCTTGCACACACACATACACACACACACACAAAACTCTCACACACACAGGTTATTAGAATTTCAGCACAGAAGATAATTTTGGCTAGGAATAAAGCTAGGCACATGCATATAGCTAAAAGTGAATTACAGTGATGTTTATTACTGTACAAGCCTAGTGTGATGTGTATTTACAATAATTCTAATGATTATGTCTTTATGTGTGTACAATGTATATAGAGAGGGTGCAATGTTATATAAATTATGTAAACAAAATCTAACTATATTAACAGAATTTTAACTAAATGAATCAAACCCACATTTATATTATAAAATAAAATATTAATCCAAAGGAGGGATGGGGTAGAGAAAACATCTTTGAAGCCTCCCCTCATGGAAAGTAAAGGCAGGGGATGGGATTGCAAAACTTGTAAGATTCTGTTACTGTTGCCTTACTATAACCCTACTTTGAAGAGCTTACATCAATGTTGTAAGTCTGGAAGCTCTTGCACCCCCTTGCCTTTACTTTCCAGACAATTAGGGAGGGTCTCTCCTTTAGACTAGATTTCTCTTATCAGACTATCATCTAGTCTGTAGCTTTTCCTCCTGTCTGCCAAGGTTATTCTTACAGCCCACTGCAGAGTCCTAGAGACAGGAGAGAGTTTGAAGGCAACAGTCTCAAAACAGCTGGGACCCCATCATATTGGAGTGATGTCTTGCAGGACAGATTGCTGCATGACTGATTTAGACTTCAGACTTTAGACTCATGCTATACTGGAGAAACAAAGTAAAGTAGTAGATGGAAGACTAAATTAGATTCAGCTATAGTTCAGGTGTTGGTATGAGTGGGCAACTAAATTTAATTTTTGATGTGTGCCATTGTGCCCACAGTATAAGAATGACAATAAAGGTTATCTTATCTTATCTTATGAAGAACTTCAGAACTTATGAAGGAATACATCTTTCCATAACTTCCTATCTTTATCCCAAAATTATATAGGATGCCCTGCTCTGAACACTCCGCTCCCATTGAGTTACATTGAATAGCACTCAGGGAAGCATCTTGTTTAGGAGGAGATCAAGTTTTCAAACTTGGCAACTTTAAGATGTTTGGACAGCTCCCAGAAATCTTCAATCAGCATAGGGAATTCTGGAAGCAGAAGTCTGCAGATCTTAAAGTCGCCAAGTTTGAAAAACACTGATCTAAAATGTTCAGAGTCAGTCTAAATTAGCAATTTGCGATATAGTTATCTGAGAATTTAATTTGAAATGTCTTGGTTTACGCATTTATTTCCTGAAGCTTTTGTTAGGGCAACACTTTGGATTCCATTTTCTGAAAACAGAAGTCTTCCTCTGATGTCAAAGGACTGCAGGATTTCACTAACATTAAACTAATTTCCTGGAAGAATATTCTGATTTTTTTTTGTTTTGCTCTGAATAATGACATTTAAGATCAAGCTTTGTGGAAATTTTGCGGTTATGCCATGTATGATTAATGGAATATAACTTGACTGAATTCTAAATATTCTTTTATTTTGTGCCTTGTGACTTTTCCCTTGAGTATATCTGCTGCATCAGGTTAGGATATGATAAAAACACCTTTCAGCAATCACACTTCTTATATAAGTGATTTTAAAAAAATTGCAAAGCAAGTCTTGTGTAAATTTGGAAAAACAGTGATAAAAAACCCCTAAAAATATCTCTTCTTCCACCTACAGTGTCAATGGGAATGAATTTATGGTGTTCTTAGCAGGCTCTTGACTGAACATCATACAAAGAAAATCAGAATATGTTTCAATAAATTATT